AAAGAAAAGAAAAGAAAAGAAAAGAAAAGAAAAGAAAAGAAAAGAAAGAAAAGAAAAAAAAGAAAAGAAAAGATTTAAGAGAATATATTAAAAGTAACTCAACGAGACCTGGGCTTTATCCCGCTTCCACCGCCACAAACCCACTCTGACTTTTCCTCAGCTGACAGGTTTGCCAGATATACAGGCAGGAACCTTGGCCCGGCCCGGATCCCACAGTGCCGTCCGCCCCCGCCGAGCCGGGCGCCGCCGGTCTCCTCACCCCGCGGAGCCGCTCTCCGGGTGGCTCCCGGGGGCTACCCGCTCCTCCCTCAGTCCTTTTCTCCCGTAGAGCCGGGGTGAAGCAAATGAATAAAAATTGATACGGTGACGGCGGCAGCGGCATAACAACGCGCAGATTATGGGGAAAACCCCGGCCCCGGGGCGGGAGGCTGTCAGCCCTTATCCCCGCGTCCGCCGCTCCGGAGCAGACACGCAGCTCGGTTTGGGGAAGTTCGGGTCCGACGGGGACATAGAAGAGGAAGGCGAAAAGATGCCGTCGGGGAAAGCAACAGGAGGGGTCCCATCCTCACCTCCGGCAGGGCGGGCTGCTCCAGCGAGCCCTGCTCCACTCCGGACTGGGGGTTTCATCGGGATGGGGCCGGGGGGCAATCCAGTGCAACCAGTGCATCGCGGAGAGGAGAGGGGCTGGCACTGGAACGAGAAGTAAAGGTCGGCTCGTGACTCGAAGGAATATTACTAATAATTTTCTCTCTCCTTTCCCGACGATGTCGCTGCTCCCCAAAGCCCCCGTCTCGGCTGTGCGGGCCGGTCCCTCCTGCACTGCCGCAACATTCCCCCCACGGGACGAGGCGGCTGGGCTCGGCTCCGTTCGGGGTCGCCTTAGGGCAAAGGAAGGATTTGAGAAAGTTACGCGAGGTTAAATCCCGGGCACATGGAGCCTCATTAGGAAAGTCGTTTTGGAAATGGGCAGCACTGTTCCAGTACGATTGCTGGTCGTAACACTGCCTGGTGCGTCCAACCTCCCCGTGCTTTCCTGTGCCGCTTTTACTTTGATGATGCTCGAGAGAGATAGATGGAGAAGGAAAGAAAGAAAGAAGGAAATAAAGAAGGAAATAAGGAAGGAAGAAAGGAAAGAAGAAAAGGAGGAAGGAGAGGAGGAAAGGAATAGAGGAAGAAAGAAAGGAAGAAAGGAAGGAAGAAAGAAAAGAAGAAAGGAAGAAAGGAAAGAAGAAAGGAAGGAAGAAAGATAGAAAGGAAGAAAAAAGGAAAGAAAAAAGGAAGAAAGGAAAGAAGAAAGGAAGGAAGAAAGAAAGAAAGGAAGAAAAAAAGGAAAGAAAAAAGGAAGGAAGGAAAGAAGAAAGGAAGGAAGAAAAAAGAAAGGAAGAAAAAAGGAAAGAAAAAAGGAAGAAAGGAAAGAAGAA